CTGGGGGCACGGAGCATATTTAGGCTGGGGCTGTCTCCCGCTCTGGAGTCGGGGCGGCCGTGGGCCTGGTGCTGCCCCCTCGGGCGCAGGCATCCTACGATGTCCCCTCTCCCCGGCTCTGGGAGGGAACCAAGGCAGCCCCACGCCAGGCCTCCCCGGACACCGGGATCAAATTACTCCTCAGAGCCTCGTGTTCTTTACCTGAAACCTGAGGTAGCAACACCCCCACCCCTAAGGGCGGCCGTGAGGTCGGAACATGTGTGACCCCGGTGGGCCCTTGCAAATGTTGTGATGTCATCAGCCTCTGGGAGTCTGAGCCTTATCATGAACACATGACGGGGGTCACCGGCTGTGGGTGCCTCCTCTGTGGAGGGCCTGGCCCCACTTTCCAGGACCTGAATGACACTTCTGGGGAGAGGGAGATGGTACAGAGGGTGGGGCTGGGGCTCCTGCCATCAGGGCAGGAAGGACTTTAAACCCAAAGCTGGGTTCTCAGCCACAAGGGCCATATGTTCTGGTGAGACCCCTGGTCCTGGCCCCGGTCTGCAGCCCTCCCCAGATGTGGGCCGGTGGCAAGGCTGGCCCTGTCTGGGGCTTGGAAGCCAGTGCGGGGGCCTGGTGCTGGGAAGAGCAGGGCAGGACCTCCCACTGCCTCCCTCCCTCCCCTCCGCCCTGACCAGATTATGGGGAACGGGCTGCCGGCCTTGGGGTTGCAGTGCCATCCCAGACCCCACCACTCTCTGTGGTGGAGCTGACCAGGCCCTGTAGACCCAGAAGAGACACTCGGCGAAAAAGATGTGAGCCGTCCTCTTCCTGAGAGTATTCCAGGGCTCACCCCAAGCCTTGGAATCTTCTGAGAGACTCTCGGACACCCCCTTGGTGGCTCCAAGAGACCTCCCAGCGAGGCCGTGGCAGGAGGGGGCAGGGTGGGCTGGGAGTGGCTTTGGCCCCTCCTCTGAGATTTTGTGGCAGGGAGGCAGGACCTGCATGAGGCTCCAGGCTTAGTCCTGGGGTCATCTAAGACCCGGAAAGATGCATCTTGCTTTGCCCTGGAGTGTGGCCGCGGGGCTCAGACGTCACTCTCCCAGCCCTTGCTATGAGCCATGCACTGAGCTCATTCACATTGCAATGCCCCAAGGCAGTAGGTACCGTCACCTCCCCAGGCTTCAAGGTGAGGAAATTGAGGCTCAGAGAAGGGAAGTGGCTTGCCAAGACCACAGAGCCAGGGTGGGGTCCATTTCAAGTCCAGGGCGTGTGACTCCAGGGGCTCTAACCTCCTCCCCGGATGTTGGGGTGGGGGCGGCAGGAGATCCGGACTGCGGAGCAGATGGTAGCACCGTGAGGGTCCCACCTCTCCTTCGCTCCGTGGCTGTGCCCAGTGCCCCCTGCCAGCCCACTCACAGACTGGAGGCCTGCGGAGGGTGCCCAGGACTGGTCCCACCCCACCCTGTGGGTGGATGTCACTGGCCTGAAGATACCCTCCACATGGCCTTCCACAGCCAGCTCTGCCCAAACGTTGGCTTCACCAACTTCAACGGTGAAGTGGCTTCACCACTTATCTGGCCATGACCTCGGGCAGGCAGTTTGCCCGGCCTTGGCCTCAGTTTCCTCATCTGTGCAGTGGGTACGGTTATCACAGCATCGTCCCCATTGGGGAGGTTAAAGTGACAGCTTGTATCCAGGGCTAATCATGCTGGCGCCATGGCAAACCCTGGGAAGATGCCTACCCTTTCTTTGCATTGATTCTTTTTTTTCTTTTTTTCTTTTTTTGAGACAAAGTCTAACTCTGTTGCCCAGGCTGGAGTGCAGTGGCGTGATCTCAGCTCACTGCAACCTCCGCCTCCAGGGTTCAAGTGATTCTCCAGCCTCAGACTCCCAAGTAGCTGGACTACAGGAGCCTGCCACCAAGCCTGGCTAATTTTTGTATTTTTAGTAGAGACGGGGTTTCACCATGTTGGCCAGGCTGGTCTCAAACTCTTGACCTTGTAATCCACCCGCCTCGGCCTCCCGAAGTGCAGGATTACAGGCATCAGCCAGTGCACCCAGCTCCTTGGGTAGATTCTGAGCCAGGGAAGCTCCTGTGCGCGTGGAGGTTGGCTACAGAGCCAACACCAGAGCACCTCCTGAGAGCTGCGCAGTCACCCTGCAGGGGAGGGGCCAGAGTCCATTCCAGACCCTTCCCTTCAGTTCCCCAAGCCTGCCCAGAGGGGTGGGCCCGGTGGGTACTGACAGTGGACAGCACAGCAGAAGAGGTGAAGAGGGCAGTCCTGGCCTCACCAGGTCCACCTCCATTTTCTTCTCTGTAAAATGGGCATCATGGTACCTAAGTGCCAAAAAGTGTTGGCGTTTCTTGGCCTCACTGGGCAGACAAAAAGGTGTCTGGTTAGAAGCGGCGGCTCATGCCCGTAATCCCAGGATTTTGGGAGGCTGAGGTAGGTGGATCACTTGAGGTCATGAGTTTGAGACCAGCCTGACCAACATGGAGAAACCCCGTCTCTACTAAAAATACAAAATTAGCCAGGGGTGGTGGCAGGCGCCTGTAGTCCCAGCTACTCAGAGGGCTGAGGCAGGAGAATCACTTGAACCTGGGAGGCGGAGGGGTTGCAGCGAGCCAAGATCACCTCTCTGCACTCCAGTCTGCATTCCAGGCAACAAGAGTGAAACTCTGTTTCAAAAAAAAAAGAAAGAAAGAAAAAAGAAAAGAAGGTGTCCATGGGCAATGGGCAATGAAAGTTGAGCTCAGTGCATACTGTAGGTGCCCAGTGAGTGCCGCGAGTGGCCATGGTCAGCTTCCTGTTGCCGCTCACAGTCAGGGAGGGAGAGGCAGGCACTCCCATGCTCTCTGTCTGGTGGTTCTGGAGCACTGTGGGGACGCCCAGGGAGGGAAGGAGCCCCAATGCACCTGCCCCCAACCCCGGCCTTCCAGACTCAGTAATAGACTCACTCCCCCTACTGGCCCTCATCCACAGAGCGTGCCAGGAAGATGTCGAGCCCGGGCATCGACGGCGACCCCAAGCCTCCATGCTTGCCTCGAAATGGTCTGGTGAAGCTGCCAGGCCAGCCCAACGGCCTGGGTGCGGCCAGCATCACCAAGGGCACGCCAGCCACCAAGAACCGTCCCTGCCAGCCACC